CTCCCCTCAAGCATCCACGTGCTCTGGCAGGGGCTCCTCCGTGGGCTGTGTGTGGATCTCTGCATCCCTTTGGCTCTCCATGGGCTGCAGGGGCACAGCTGCCTCACCATGGTCACCACCACAGCCTGCAGGAGAATCCCAGCTCCAGTGGCTGGAGCACCTCCTCTCCTCCTTCTGCACTGACCTTGGTGTCAGCAGAGCTGTTCTTTTCACGTGTGCTCATCCCACTCTTCCCTAGCCACAGTTATATCAGTGCAATAAGTTTTTTTCCTTTTTTATTAAATTTGTTATCCCAGAGGCATTACCACCATCCTGGATTATCCCAGCCTTGGCCAGTGGCACATCTGTCTTTGGAGCTGCCAGGGGACACGGTGGAAGCTTCCAGCAGCTTCTCACAGAAGCCACCCCTGTGCCCTCCCTGCTATAAAAGCAGGCCATTCAAACGAATACAAAGTGATGCACACATGAGTGCAGGACTGCAAAAGTCATGTCTCTAATTTTGTCAATAGCTGAGAAATTGTTAGCAATAGACTCCCTTTCTACATACAAAATATTAAAATGTACTGGGAAAAAAATACTAAAAATAATACTATGAAACATTTCCCCTAAAAGCTAAGGCTATGTAAATATGAGAAATAGGTAAAGAACAAAATTTTTATTATCAAGGAAATTGTACTTTTCGAGATCTGGTCTTATGCCAGATTAGGACAAGATTTTAGAAAATTTTCCTCTACAACAGTAGACTGAGGTTTACAGACCTGAAAACATATATTAAGTTTCAGTGTTCTCAGTACTGAGCCATTCCCAATTAATCAAAACTTCTTTTAACTATTGTACAGATTGCTGTCTTTATAAAATTTTTCAACAGAAAGTTATTAGACTCATAATAAGAAGCCACTCATTTTGATGTAAATATTTCTACAATTTTCCCTTTCAAATTGAAATTGCGTTTCTTTCTAATGCACTTGATGGTTGTAAAAAAAAGCACCATTTGAAGATGCATTACAGACTATTCTTTCTCCTTTTTTTAATGTGGAAAACCCCTCCAAGTGTTGTAATCTTTATTCTGCAATTTTAAAAACATTTCACAGCAGTGGTCACAACAAAATGTGCTGCTGACAGTAAACAACAAAGAATACCAGTGCACATTCTGACAGCTCAAATGTGAGGCTTGCCTACTTCTTAAAGACTTATCCATGCAAATGTCAGAGAGAGATAAGGATTAGCCAGGGCACAACTTGAGGAATTACAAGAAAAATGAGACAGTGGCTGCAGTTTTCATGCACAAGGGCCTCAAAGCCATGAAATCACTGGTGGAGGTGCACTAAAACCCCAAGGAACTTGGGATCCAAACTTTGCAAATGAGGATTAAAACTAGTTTCACTTGCATTCCAAACATGAACATATAACTTGTTCTGACCTATTATTTACTACAGATTAATTATATATTCCTCAGAAATTCTGGAATATGGACAGCTGAAACTAATTCAAAAGTTGCTCACTAGTACATAATTGGGTGGAACTGAAATGGATGAGTAAACAGAAGTACTTGATGATTTTGCTTTGGGCTAATTTTACTTTGGTTTACCTGGAACCTTTTCCACTTTTCAAAGTTTTACACTCTCCATCTCTTCAAGATTGTAAGTGAACCTTCAGCATGGACTGAAATTCTGATGAGTATGGGGTTTTTAAAGAAAAAAACACAGTAGGAAAATACACTAACTGTGCACCCATTTTACCAAAAGTGATGACAGATAAATATCAGAACATGAAAAATGGTACCATAAAGGAGTTAGCACTGCTTTTCAACAATGAGATATTTATCACTGGACCAGAGAGGAAGTATTGTTCTGGGCTTTTGACTATGCTGTGGGAGGACAGGAGGAGAAAAAATAGTGAAATATAAACCTTCTGTGAAGGATAAGAGAAGCTTCTTGTGTAGCACATGACAAAATCTGAGTTTTGCAACAGAAATTTTCTATCCAATTACTAGAAGAGGAAAATGCTCACTTGCACAGCTTTCTTCATACCCTGAAGGCCACAGTGCCATGCTAAAGCACTCAGGGAAGAGACTGAAACATGTATAAGGATTTCTTCTGGATTTCTTCTGCTTCACATTTTCATGCTGATGGAAAAAAATGAATGCATGATGGAGTGGAACTTGACTAGAGCCCAACTCATGGGCAGTGCTGTACTCAAGTACAAAGCTAGAGGTGTACCAACAACCAGAGGCCCTCCTACACAACTGAACAGCCTCAATTTAATCTCAGTGCTAATGATACCTCTGTACATAGGTAAGTATCACAAAACAGAGAAGAATGCATTTTAGCAGCTGTGATCTCTCAAACATGCAAATTATTACCTCAGTTAAATAAATCATTGTTCCGCTGTGCTGAGCTTCTATGGCTGTTCAAACAAAGGACCCTTTCTGAATGCTTATCTGAAACCCATCCGACCAAAACATCTTTTAGTCTAACTCCACTGAGGCCAGAATATAAAGACATAAATTAATTCTGCTCATTATTTTCTCGTGTCATTGTGACAAGCAGCCAAACAGCTAAACTCCAAAACAAGTCTACAGAGAACTCATAAGTACTGAGACATTCAAAGACAATAATATTTGCTTCTAACTACAGATGCTTAATAACATTGACAGGATTTATGAAAAAATAACCAAATATTGGAAAATAAGTGAAGTAGTCACATGAAACAGCAGATCATACCAAACAGCACATACAGAGCTAGACATATGTTGTAGCTTTTGAATAATTCAGCAGGATGTTCTGCTTAGCTCTGTCACCTACCCTTCTCCCTTTTGAGGTAGCACTTATCCCTAGAAAAGAGAGAAATCCAGGAGATTTAATTTTAATTCACCTTAGTAGAGTACAAAACTGTGCCAAAATGAACACAGTCAATATGATCACTGATTTCAAGTATGCTTTACCCTGACAAGGTGATACATAAGTTCATTAATAAAACTTAGTATCAGAATTAAACTTCAATTTTACTCCCTTTTAAGCAAAGAAACAACCTCTTGTCTGAATAATCAAGAAGTTAGCTACTGTCCCTTTTCACAGTGTGCACAAGGTACAAGAAAAAGAATCTGTCCACAAACCTTTGAATTTACATTATCTAAATATTTACAGATCGTTTTGCATGTGATATATACAGTGCTATATGAGATAATCTATTTATCTGCACTTTCTAGGCTGTAGTCTGTTTCTCTTGCTGGTTGCTACACAAAATGTGCCAACATGCAGGAAAATAATTTCTTAAAGCACTAAGGTTCCTGTTACTTTTTGTTCCCATTTCCTCCTGAAGCATTTTCCCTAGGTTTTCTCTCAGTTCCCTCTGGGATAGTCTGCTCTCTGTATCTCTTCAACTTCCTCTTTCTTGTACTCACACTGCAGCTTCTAGTACTAAAAGAAGTTGGGGGGGAGCTGTTTGCTTTTCCTTTGCTACCTAATGT